CGATAAACGCTCACACCTACACCCGCACGCACTCAAGCATACAACTTGCGCACAAGCAAACATTTGTGTACTCAATGGACGCACATCTTGGAGTGTTGACTGCTCAGCCGAATATTTACTGGTTCATTATGCTCCGCTAAGCGCACTTAGTTACTGCCTTGTCACACACAGGTATCGCATGCACAAGAGTTGGTGACCACGAATCGCCCTTGTGATCCACATGTCGTATGAGCAACATGGCACTTACTGGGCGCGAGTACTTGGGAAGATGACAATGCGTCGAAATGGCGAGCTAATGGCTGCTGGATAGTTGGTGTACACTGGGCTGCTCGCTGGATTGAGTACGCTACGCTAATTACCTGAGATGGCCGTTGCCGTTCAGTGTTGTTCTTGTTGGTACTATGTTTACATTTGCTTGCGACTCACCACCACACAGAACCACACGCTCAAGCTGTATTTACACTTCATTTTCAGCTTCCTTGTTGTTCTCTTTGGCTGCCGCTTGTTTCCCTTTTCGTGCGCTGACGTCTGCAGCTTGCATCGCTTGCTTACCTGTGCTGCGCGCAATTAACCCAAAATAGCAGGAAACCAGATGAAAACAAAATTAAAAATACAACAACAGCAATAAGGCATGAAAGCGTACGAAACTTAAGTTTCATTCATGGCGGTGTGTGCGTGGGTACGTGTGTGCGCGGCCTCAAAACATCTGTTTGTGCAACGTGTGTGTGCTTGTGCTCACACACAACCTTACACAGCGCTCACCTGGTAATATCGCAAGCGCGCTTATGTACCTGAGGTTAAAGCACTTTTCAGCAAATTTGTTTACGCTCTCACTAATTCACTTATTATATAAACAATCGCAACTAATTTATTACTCGCGTTTGTATTGAAGCATTAGCATGAAAATCTTATTTTTAGATTTTGACTCACCATTACAATCTATTTTTTGTTTTTGAAAATAATCGATTATTTTTTTCCTCTAAATTAATTTTCTAAGCACAAAAACAACACGTTTACAACAAAGTACGTTTGAATTAAAAAAAAAAGGTAACGGTAGTCTTTATATTTTCCGGGAGCAGTTCTGCTTACTGTTCAAACTGCCCAAATTTATTTGAAAATAATTTTGATACTTGTTTTTCGGGGGGCTGATTTTCTTTTTGTGGTATTTATAATTTCTTTATCAATTGAAGAGTGCACAAATATCATTAGAGCAACAAAAAAAAAAAACAAAAAAAAAAGCAAAAAAAAAAAAACATTAACTTCGGTTGCATCGAAGCTATAATACCCTTCACAAATATAAAGGCTCCTTACCAGAACTTGATTCCGATCGTTCAATTTATATGACAGCTATATGCTATAGTGCTCCGATCTGAATAATTTCTTCGGAGATTACATTGTTGCCTTAGAAAATATATCATGCCACAATTTGTGAGGATATCCCCTCAAATAAAACAGTTTTCCATGCAATTTCAGATCGATATCTCAAAAACTGAGAGACTAGTTCGCGTATATACTGACAGACGGACAGACAGACAGACGGACATGGCTAAATCAACTCAGCTCATCATGCTGATCATTTATGTACAAGTATATACTTTATAGGGTCTTCCTTTAGGGTGTTACGAACTTCGTGACAAACTTAATATACCCTGTTCAGAAAATAAAAACTATTTTCCAACTAACATTCGGCATCATTTCAACGTTGTCTGCATTAGCATTCAATCATTGCATTTTCATTTGTTTGTTTGCTTTTCAATGCGTTTTTGGATGCTCACATGTCCATTTGCTTGCGTACGTGCGTTTGTACCGGCGCGTGACGTAAGGCGCAGAACGCAAATATTAAATTTCCATGCATTTGCCCAACTGTTCCGAACCGATTTTGAATGCTAATCACAAACTCGAACAAAGCAAAGCAAAGCAAGGCAGATGAATGGCAATCATTTGCCAAAAATAGCAACCGTGCGTTGCAACCACTAATTTGTGGATTATACCGGCCAGCAGATAGGCGTGGCAGACGCGGTGGGCGGGGTGGCCAAAAAATTGCGGTTGCCTAATAAAATTCAAATTAAATAACGTTCGTGCAAACATTTGCGTTACAGCCGGAGCAGTGACGCTCATTTAGGTCTGTTTGCATGTTGTCTTGCGAGCATTTAAGATTGTGTGCGTGTGTGTGGTCTTCTGTGCGTACATAAATATTTGTATTACGCAGCTGAGTGGCAAATCGCTTTCAACAGGACGGACAAGTTAAATATTTGCATCTGAACGTAATCGGCGGCGTATATTTGCCACAAATTGTGTGGCTATTTAAAATCATGCCCAAATGCATATGTACACATGCGTGTCTGTGTGTTTGTGCGTAAGCTACCGTGTGTGTGTGTTTGCATACGGAATATTGGCCTATTTAGCTATGCGATTGGCCAAAATCAATGTGATTATTGAGGCGTTACACAGTCGGAGCTCAACGCCGGATAAAAATACAGACATCAAATTGTATGCTCTCCAGCACTAGGGTGTGTCTTTCTTTATTATTTCGTATGGAAAATCATCAGCTCGAATGTATTACTTAGCGAATTTTGCGTTGTTGCGGTTTAGATCGGAGAGTTAGAGAGGGTATCCACCATATTTTCTTCTTTTTGAATAGAAGAACCATTTCTGGGCCGACTTGGAGACTTTGTGACTTAGATACAATTTTTCTCAAGTTGGTGTCATACTTAATAAATCAGGTTTTACTGAATAATCAGGCTTATATCAAGTTGCCGATTACCCCAATGTACACACAGAAATACACAGTTATTTCAACATACTCGCACACATGCCTACGTCTTTTATGATTTTGGTTATTTTTGGCAATATTTGGCGGCTACAATATTACGGCTGTTGCTCACTTCACGCTTCGCTGACGATCGCTGTATTGCTTAGCATGAGTTGCCACCCCTTTTTGGTGCTCCCGATTCCCCTTACGATATCGCCACGCACATTTGCCCGCAAGCTAAACTGCCGATTGTTGCACGTCTCTGCCACTGTATGGAACGCTTATCATATTTTTAGCTTCACGTCGGCAGATTAGTCGGTGGTAAGGTGGGGCGGCATGTGGCAGACGCTTGCTCATTTCTACCGTTTATATTATTGTGCTTATTTACTGTGCTCGCTTTCCCGAAATCGCTCGTTGCCTTTGCTTTGCATCTGTTTCACTAAGTTTTGTCTTTATATGCTGTTTGTGCGTGGTGATTATGATTATTGCCTGCTCTTAGTCAATACTCCTCATTCGCCGTACTGCAGTGCATCCTTCCCTCTTTCCTACTTATTGGTTGATTATGATAATTTGGTATCAGTCGCTTCCAAATGCTGTGATATCAGCAGCTTCTCACACTTATGCCGCCTTTGTCCTGCCCACCTTATTTCCAGTCCATTGCAGCAACACGCCACTAACATAACCGTAATTTCCCGCTCACTTACCGTTAGTCTACTTCTAAGCAAATTTCCCTCCACGAATGTTTTCTATAAAATTAGCAATGTTGCAAAGCAAAAGCATATGGCTGAGCAACGTGCCGTGCCAACAAGCGGATAAAAACAAATTAGTGTGGCAACGAGCTAAGGTTGGTCGGAATTGGGAAGCTTGTGCCATCGAGTGTAAATAATGCACATCGATTTTTATTGCTATATTATGATTATTATTTCTTCTTTCTATTCTATTCCCATTTTATTTTGGGCCTATAAAGAGTTTTAGCGAACAGCTTTATGCTTACATATATATTTCGAGGAGGAGCGGCGTTGGTAACTCAGTGGGCTAGAAAATACATATATGCATCTACGGAGCATAGTTGGAGCGCTTGGTAGGAAATTATATACGAACTAAGTTTATGGTTCCTAAGCACTACTCTGGAAGATTTGATGCATATAGGACTTTAGAAAGATTTGCATAAGGAAACGCCAATGTCATATATCACTTATGACACTTTTATGAAGCGGCATATCTTTTAATTAGAAGTGCTTTAGTCACTTTGGCCTTAATTTCACAATTTTTTTAACACGAAAATTAAACAATGAAGTGGATGAAGTGATGGAGTAAAGTTATAAAAAAGTGTGCGTTAATTCAGATAAACCATATATTTTAACATAGAGTATCCATTTAAGAAATAAAATGTTGCTTGATCAGCCTGATTCTTTCATAAGGTTTTGGCGATATGCTATAAATGTTGGTCAAAATTAAAAATAGAGCTTTGTTTTGTTACTTACAAATAAGTGACAAAATAATATGGTGTTTTAGAAAATAAAAATTTGATGCTGAAATCTGAAAAACAAATGTCATGATTCAATTATACAAATTGTGTTACTTGAGAGAGTGTTTTGTTTTTTAATTTTAATTTTTAATCTATATGAACACAAGAGTTAAAGTTTTAGTTAATTAAAAAATCAAGTTAGTCAGTTCAAAACGCTTGATTTTCCTTCGAAATTCTACTGTGAGACTCCCCATATTACATGAAATATTTACCAAAAATCACAAAATTTAGAAAAAAAATTACAAAAAGTAAATGCAAATTAGTTTAAGATGATTATTAAGTTATATATACTATTAGTGGCATTTTTTTTTGAAATGCAAATAAATTAGTGCAATTTATTTATGAAAACAACCAAACTGAAAGACAATATTAATGCTTTACATGTACTAATGCGGCATGAAATTCATTAAAAATTTCCGCAAAATTAGTCAAGTGCACCGCTGCTTCCAACCATTAAAACGTCTTAGTATTTTCTAGCTAAAATAACAAAAGATTAAACTCATTTGGCAAAAACAATAACAGCGAAGGCAACCGCATTCGCTAATGCAATAATATTATTGAACATAATAACAACAAAGAGAACAACAGGATTTTTGCAATGCAAGGCAAACAACCGCACTCGCATACATACGAACATAACACACACATATGCATTTATCAAAGTGAAATGGGACAAGCGTAGTCACGGTGGCGTATGAGTAACATAAACAAATATACACACACACACACACACACACAGATAGTCATTGAAAACACTGAGGGTAAAATAATAAAGTCAAATTAAATAAAATTGATGAAAAAAGTTTAGACGAAGACAGAGAGCGTTAATCTTACATTAAGCAGATGTACAAGTGCACACATACACACATGAACAGCAATTAATAAGGCGCAGCGTCGTGTGCTGCTTTGGCCACTGATGATAATGATTCATTGCTTTTTAAACAAACCCTTGTTGCAATAAATTTCCGAGGTTCAATAAAAGGCAACGGCACATAGCAGCCGTTTAAAGAGCACCGGCCGCTGGAGGAGCGGGCGCGTGAGCCATAAAGCTAACGGTGCGCGCCAAGTAAAACGCAATAATAAATTGTACATAAAATGCCGGTGACAGTTGCGCGTCAAAAGGTGAGCGGCAAAGCGCGCATGAACAATGCACAAAGCAGATCACACAAAGCAGACGACAGCGACGCGAAACGACGTGGTAAAGAACGTGTCACGAATAAAAGGAAGTGATGTGCCGCTAGCGCCTTGGAGTGCATTGTACGCTGACAGTTTTATACTAGTCGAATTGACAGTGGAAATTTTCGCCATATACGGCAGCCAAACAAAGAAACAAAGCACCTAGAGGCGGCCAAACAAAGAAAGATTTTCTCTTTTTTCTTTCCGCGTGTGTGTGTGTACGCATTGGTGCGTATGAAGACACATTTGCAGTCGCATGTGTGCCCGAAATCCCGCTGGGCACCCGATAAACCGCTTAACCGCCACTGATGCGGTTTATTGCACCCACTCGCAGTCAGCTGTGCGGGGATGCAGCGAGCGCAGTCAGCAGCCATTCGCATTCGCCAACTGTGCTGCGCTGAACAGCCCAGCTCAGTATTGAACAGTAAGCGTTGCCATAACAACTTCGCGTAAATATTCAAATACCGTGAATTGAATTAAAATGATTCGATTGAAAATATTAATGTAACTCCCGTTATATTCGTTTAAAAAATATCAGTGAACAGCGCGAAGCTGAGTCGAGTTTTAACTGCAACAGATTTTCGCGGTTATTTTGCGTATTTATTTCAAAAAACCAATAAAAAACAGTAGCAAATCTACATGAAAATGTGGAAACGTGTAAAATAAAATAATAAATAAAATAACAGTAAAGAATTAAATTCATAATCTCCACTGTGTTACTAAATTTTTCAAATATTCAAGCTTTTATCAAACCAACAAAAAACAACTTATACTAAGCGTTCAAATCTGTGTTTTTATATGAACACATTGTTTAGCGAATTTATTGTTGGCCATAAATTTCGATGCGCTTTGCTGCTGCAGTAAAATCTGCTTATGCTGCATTAATTCCCAACAAAAACAATGGCTCAGCGTGCAATCTGCGCCGCTAACCAACAAAAGCGCCGCGCAGACACTCAACATTTAACATTTCGCAGAAAATCACCAAATTAATTTGCTTTAATTTAAACTAATAAAACATTCGCAAAGCCAATATGATAGAAAGCAAAACATATCGCATATGAAAATATAATATATTTTTTTAAATTTGAAAACACACATACAGCAACAGCCACAGACAAATTCGTACACTTAATTGTTAATGGCCATTACCGCGCCTTGGATTAGGAGGGAGTACGTGTTTGTGTGAGAGTCTTCATGTCATGCAGGAAATCAAGCGAACTAAGTTTTAAATAATGTACAATGCCCCGTACATACGAGGGAACTTAGAAAGTTGCATAATGGTTTCTTAGCCGTTTATATGAAACTTAACCTTTTTCTGCTTGTTCATGTATAAGAAACATTCAAATACACTTCTGTAAATAAAAATTAAACAGAAAAAAACGTTAACTTTGCTTGCACCGAAGCTATAATACCCTTCGCAATTTCAAAGTTCCCCATAAAAGTACTTGATTTTTGTGTTTGTGTGGCCGCTGGTGTAAAATTTCAGATCGATAGCTTAAAAAATGAGGGGCTAATTTGTATATACAGACAGACGGACACGACTAAATCAACTCAGCTCATCATGCTGATCATTTATGTATATATTTTATAGCGTCTCAGACATTTCCTTGTGGGTGTTACAAACTTCGTGGCGAACTGAATATACCCTGTTCAGGCAATAAAACGCGTACAGTGCGACTATTAAGGCTCAGAAAACTAAAAGAACTTTATTGACAAAAATGCAAGGTTGATAGAAAACAAGGTTACGTCAACCGTTGACGTCAAAGAAACAACATCGTCATAATTAATTTGAAAAAAATAATGTATTACTTTTTTATGCAAAATAGATTTTATGAATAACGGAATTTTATGACGATTTCCTGCAAGTACGTCACTTTGAACGTAAATATATGTGTTGGTTGACGTGAGTGATTCTGTTCAGACTGCTGTTAGTCAAGTTGTTTGGATTGGCGTTGAAAAGTTGAACATCGGCAATTACTTGAGTCGCATAGTGATGTTGTTGCTCCCACGCATTTCAAGACTCACCAACACTGACATAGTATATCTACATACATATATGTATTGTATTTACAAAGAAATAGGCTATACGGGAATAGTGGATGTTGGATTTTATATTTTCGAATTTAAATTGTTTTTAAATATTTATCATATATGATATCATTTATTTTATATTATTTGTATATTTTTTTTATGTTATTAATTTATTTTATACAAATTTCGGCCAACTCAATCCATAAAAATGCTTAAAAAGTGAACAAAAAAATTTTTTTTTGAGAATTTTCGTATAAAAACTGAAAAAATAAGAGCGCATACAGCTTAAGCAGAATATCAGTTCGTTGGCAGCAAAAATACCAGCTGGGTCAGAAAGCGACGTGTTTGAGCACTTCTGCTACCCGCACTCAACGGCAGCATGATCAGCGGACACAAAGAGTAAATTTCATATACTCGTATGTAAATACATAAAATGGAATGGATTGCACTTGCTTTAATTTGACGTACAGTGGCGTATAATAAACAACGTCCAAATTAACCACAGATTCAGCAAAATTCTTATATTATAGGGTTAAAAAATTCTGATTTTTTAGACATTCTTGATCTTTCGTTATACCTTACTTATTCACGGTCCTCAAAGACTTTAGAGATGAAACTATTGTACAGTGCTTAATGCATGAAAACAAAATAATGAGAGCCAGATTAAATACTGTGGCTAACTTAGAAAGTGCTGACGTGTTCATATTTATAACAGTAACATATATTAATAGAAAAAATTTTTTCGAAATGAAAGAATTATCACTTTCTAACACTGAAAAGTTGAAAACAATTTTTGGCTGCGAGTAAATGAAACTAGCAAATGCCATTGTCGATACATGCAACAACAACACCCGCACTCGCATACACTCAAAGGCTACTTACTCATGCGCTCACATGCGCGCACACACACATGCAGAGTTGCACATATACGCTCGCACCTTTAAAAATAAGTGCAAAAATCATAAGCTAATAGCTAACCGATTCTCGGCCGTTGAGCAAAGTGGCCGCGTCGAATTGCCTCTTCAAGTGCCAGCGACAGCGGCGAGCGCTCTGCAAAACTGAGCACAAATAATAATAAGACGAATAGAGATACGAGTCCACACACAAACGCAACAAAATAATAGAAACAACAACAAATGAAAAAAAATAAATCAAAAGCAACATTTTCAGAAATTAAATGAAAATATCTGAAATGAAAACACCAAATTGGTAAAAAGTTGCTGTGGAGAAATTGTGCGGCCCACGGCTGCCAGTTGGATTTGTGCGCGCGGTGAAAAGTATTTCGCACAGATTTTCAAAATTTGCCGTACTGAAGAAATTTGAATACACTTTTGCGTTCGAAAAATATACTCATGAGAATTTGGCAAAAGTAGAGTTTAAAAACATTTTACGAAATGTCATTTCACAATTTTTCTGGAAATTTATATAACAAACACACAAAAATACATACAAAAAAGTACAAAACTAAATAAACATGGAAAAAATTACATTTTAATTGAACAACACAGTGCAAAACAACAACAAATCAAATAATTGAAAGGAACAACACACAAAGCAAAAAACGAAACATTAAAAAATACATGCAAAATAATTTAAATATTATGCAAACAACCAACAAAAACAAACAAAGAAATTTAAAAAGTGCATTCAAACCCAACACACAAACACAAAAATATTTACAAAAAATATTAATTTATTAAAAAAAATCGCCAAAATGCACAAAGCGACTCACTGGTGTGCAATATAAAACAAACACTACGCACACATACACACACACACGCTTGTATATATAAAAGTAAATTGTACAGCCGCATGTAGTCTTCGCATGGTAGCAAAGACCCGGGGGCGTATACGCAACATAAACAAAACCACGGAACACGACTAACAACTTAACAAAGTTCGAATCATAAAAACAAAGCACGGACATCAATTCAATTCAATTAAATAGCAATCACGCTTCACTGCAAAGTGACACTTAGTCCACAACCACAATCGCATATCTAGTCAGGGCCCACACGCGTGTAAATGCATTCTCCGCAGCGCTTCTGACAGCTGAACTGACAGCCAAATAAATTTCAAAACAGAATAATTGCACGGCGCACAGCTTCAAGTATTTCGTTGTTTTTGCATTACAAAGCATTTTACAAGGAAGTTAAGAAGCGCAGCAGGCGAAAACCACAGACAATTTAGCCTTAGAATACACACATCCTGCTCAGCAGAAATAATTAATTTTGATTGTGGTTTGCTCAATCGCAATTTGGTTGCTTTTTCAGTTCCGGCATTCAGATGACACGACTTTTTAGCGCTTGTCGTTGATGATATGTATTTCAAATGCCACTAAATATATTTTTTTAACAATTCACATACGTATTTAAATAATTGAGCATTTGTGATGACAAATATTTTTTTTGTTCTTGAAATTCATCTCTACCATTGCAAAACAAAAGAGAAACCTTCCCTGCTTTCGCAATTTTATAACCGCACAATTTAAAAACAGAATTTTTCATCAAAATAAAACTCAAAATTTTGCTGTTCAACAACTTTTATGCATATATAATATTATAAGTAATATCTGCATGAAATCGCCCTTTAAGCGTAATTAATTGTAGCTGTATAATATTCAAAAAAAAATAAATAAAACTTTTATTAAATGCTACTAAAATCACAAATAAAATATAATATAATTTAATGCTGGTTATGAAAGGAAAAAAATAAATCAATTTAAACAAATTTTATTTACTTTGCATTAATAAATAGTTTCATCTGCATTAAATAAATTAAAGTAAGAAAAAGCTATAACATTGAAATTACCAGAAAGTCGAACCACAAAAACTTAAAACTATAAGAAGATAAATATAGTTAATTAATAGTGAAATATCTGAGTAAATAAAGCCATTTGCAATTTTTTTTTAATTATGTCGAAATAAATTAACATAATTTTTGACAAACCAAATTAAAATTTAAGTATAATAATTTTAAAAGCATTTAGTGTTGCTGATTTTATAAAAATATATCAAATATCAGAATAAATATAACGCAAATCGAAAGGAAAAATCTTTTTGGTCTGATTGAAAAAAAAATACAGTAAAGGCGCATTTCATCAAACCAACTTCAGATTTACTTATAAAACATTATCGTGCATGTTTTGTATTTTTTCGGTGTTCAATCTTATAACCAAAAGTTTTTATCCAAATTACATAGTGTGACATAAGTGTTTGTGATAAGTTGATGTGTTTCGTTGATGCGATCAATTAAGCGTATTTTTATTAAAAATTATTGAAGAATAGCAAAAAAAAAAAAAATAAAAAAAGAATTACTGCAATGAGCAAAAAATGTTGAGCGACAATATTAAGCCAATTAGTGATATAACGTGAAGTGTAAAAAGCAAAGAGTAAACAGCGAATTGCTGTGCATTTTTTATAAATTCGTGTCAAAAAATATTCCACCTTGTCCGTGACAACAACAGCCCGTCACATTTCAAGGCTTTAAGCACAAAAAATATTCGCCAAAGCACATTATTGCATTTTTGCACACTTGCCTCTATGTGTCTAGGTATATTTGCGAAATAAATGTCATAATAAACGAAATAAAGAGCCAAACGTCAAAATAAAAGCTTTGGATTATAACGACGCGCACACACACCAGCGCATACCTATGTGCACGTACAGTACAGCGCACACATAAGTGAGGGGTGACGACGCCGCAGCATCACGTTCGCATCCTGAAAGGATTACGCACATAATTTATTTACATTTGTACAAGTGAATATAACATATTGTGCCGCAACGCGAATTCATATTTCAAACAACAACAACAAAGGCAGCACTTGCACACATAAATGTGAATTGCATGCACCAATAACAACACAGTTAACATTACTAAAAACTTAACTTACCAACCCCACACACACGCATACAAACACACAAAATGGAGGATAATAACGTTATCGAGGAGCAGGATGAGACCACCACCTCGACTTCGAAGTGGCGAAAAACGCGCACCACAGTCAAGGTAAATAGCCGAGCACAAATGCGGGCGAGTAAAGTCTCTGTTTTTTTGTATGTTCGTATGCATGTTTATGTGTGTGTGCAGTGATTGAGCAAATATTTGCGCAATTAAACGAATGTACTTCATAATTTACACTGGAATTTCGAAAAGCCCGCATAATTACGCGCATTAGATTAGCTAAATAAATATTCAAGCTATAAAAAATTCACAACTGAGAAAGTAAAAATTATATTCTGGAAAAATGTATGTCATTGCAAAAGTGTAAATCCATATTTACATTTACAAATGAGCATTTACAACTTTGGCTAATTTCTATTAACATCAAGTTACTAATTATAATTTGTGTAGCAAAAAATGCATTACGAAGATAATTTTATTCATAAAAAATAATTTTTTTTTTTTGTATTACCGAAAAACTTAATTAAATCCCAAAAAACGGATTAAAAATTAATTGCGAAAATTTTAAATTAAAAAATTAAAATAATGTTAATCCCAGTAATATTTGCTAAAGCTAATTTAAAAAACATAATTGACTCGATTTAATGTGAAATTTCCTAAAATGTTAGTTTGTTTATCTTTGAAAAAGGAAAAATTTTCTTTTTATAAAATTCCAATATATTTTAGCGCTTATTGTCTTATTTACATTCCATAATTCTTAATTATTGTTTTTTAGTTAGAATTTATTTAAACTTTACTATTATCCCTATCATTACCAGCTTTTCTCCAATCTTACCCCAATGTTTTATTACGTAGTGGAATAAAATATTTCGCATGAAACTCTTTTTTAAGTTTTTTTCTTTTGCTTAAATTTTATTTAAATTCATTTAAAGTTGCTATTTTTACAACAAGAGCATTAATTCATTATTCATATCAACATCTCATACAATCTGCACCCATAAACCGTTACCTTCATTTATGGCAGAAAAAAATTGCGACATTCAAAAGAATTACACAGAGCTTTAGACACGTCCACCACACTCACTACTCTATAAGAAACTTCTTCTTGGCGTTCTTATTGGTTTTCCAATAATAAAGCTATATAATTTGCATTGTCATTTCACGTAAATCGGAGTTGATGAGTAAACTTGAAAAGATACCTATGTTCATTTCTTTCGGACCACTCTTTCGTATATGCTCATATTGTTAGCTTCGAATGCCAGTTTTAATATCTTCATAGATTCCAGACATCGAAAGATATATTCAGTGCTGCATCTATGAACTCATATATCATATATACTTAAACCAAACACATTTTTAATTTTTTATGCATTTTCTCCTTCCACTACATTCGCTTTGTTACTTTATTTCACACCGCTAGCACGTACTTCCACTTACAGCAACAAAATTTTTTCATCTCAAATATAATTCATTTACTATTGATTCGACTTCCTTAGTTGCCACTTCGTGGTCAATGCGAAATATAAGCAAATTACATTAGCTTCATTACCCAACAATGACCCAACATGCAGAAAAATATATTAGTATGTATGTGTGTGTGTGTGTGTGGGTGTGGGAATGTAAATAAAAGGTATGTGCACTCATTGCAAGCAAAATACGAGGAGAGCGGCACTAAGCCACCGAGTCGCTGCTGAATTAACATAATGGCACAAGTATAATTTGATAAATTTGAGTTGAAAAGAAAATAAATAAAAGTGTTTCAATTGAAATGTTGAAAATGCAATAAAGTCAAGAAGACGCTCGGTGAAAAGGCAAAGGCAGTTAAATGCGAATTTTATGCTTCATAAAAAATCACTTAAGTGGACAGCAGCCAATTCGTTGGATGACAGCAATAAAGCCCGCAGAATTGGCAGCACGAACAAATTCGTTCGCATCCGTACATGCACACATGCACAGATACATATGTATATAAACAATTGTATTCGTAATGACCATTGGAATGCTTTACGCCTTTCTCTGCAAGTCTACACTTCGAAAGTCGTTTTTCTTCCCTATACATGCATTTGTATGTGTGTGTGTGGATATATGTGTATGGGAGTGAGTGTTTCTGCCAAGCAATTATTTCACGAGTCACATGGAATTTATCACCAATAATCAGATACATACATATATAGTATATCTTTTGAAAAATTGAAGAGTCCAAATAACAATGGCTGCGGAAAGTTGTTTGAAAATAATAAATTGAAAGCGAAAAATAAGCAAAAGTTAGACAAATATTAAGTAGAATAAATGAAATGGAAATGAATAGAAAATATATGCGAAAAAACAAGCTCTTGGCACTGGCGCATAAACTTTCGATAAAAATTAGCATACTTCACTATTTACACTTGCGCATTGTTTTTGCTAGCAATCGCTAGCAGATGTGCGGACGCGTCTTCGTTCTCACACTTAGGTCCTTGATTGATGGCATTCTTGCGCTTTGACGCCTTTCCGTCAGCTTATCTACAGCGCCATTCACCAGCTCGCTCTATTTTGTAGCATTTTTCGTATTTTTTTCTCTTTTGCTTTGCTGCCCTTGCCAGCTTAGCGATCGCTATTTGCCACGTGTATGCCACACATGTCCGTTCTCAGCAGCAGTAACAACAGCACCAGCAACAACTATAGCATTGCGTCGGCGGTGTGACGCAAAGCAAAGGCAATTGATGTCACACTTAAAGTGAGGAAAAGTATTTCGATATGTAATAAATTCACATTCATTGAAATTCAGCTGCAGCAGCGAGTTCCCCGTTCTTCGACTTCTTTCCTTTTCGCGCTTCCTTGCTTCGTCAGCCTTGGCAGAGACCATAAATTGCTTGGCTTAGCTAATGAACTTGAAATATGCGATTGGCATTACTCAATCAGTAATTAACTCAGAAGCAAAAAGCTGTTAAAACAAGCAGTTATGCGACTTTGATGCCTGATATTTCAAAACGATTTTTTATGAAATTAGTTCTGCGTAACCTTTAAAGATTAAGTGAGCCTCTATTGAAAATAGAGCACTGTGACCGTAAAGTGCTTAAAATATATTATTCAAACTAAAATAGGGCTTCCTCCGTAAGCAATTGATTATTGCCTTTAAAAAGAGCATTTATGAAAAAAGTTGGATTTTGGTACTAGACCAAATTCAAAGACAAGTTCTCTTAACTCCAATTTCAATTACTAAAATGTATTGGTTCATTTGAGCTTTTACTCGGCTTTACAATCTACACTTGTCGTCTACATATGTAATAAGCTACTCGTTTTAACTGTGAGTTAAATTTCAAGTACCCGGCAACCGCAAACTGTTCGTAATGCTGCAGTCATTTCCGAAGTTGCACTGTCATCACTTGTGTAAAACCGTTAAGCTTAATGAATTTTAACCACACATAGCATGGTTTGGAAGCCATAAAGACATACATATATGCACACATACACATACATATATGCCAAGATGGTTGCTTAAAGTGTTGTAACACATCAGCACACATAAGTAGTTAAAAGTAAATACATACTAAACACTACTTACATGTCTTTATAGAACTTTTAATTAATACAAATTAAGTTTTAGCTTAAGAGTAGCATAATTATCTTTGTTCGTATGTACATATATTCTACTTTCATTCGCTGTGGCTGTGGAAGCACAGTAAACAATGTGTTACAATCTATGATAATGTGTATACCTATATATGTATATGTTTATAAATGTATCGATTCCTAAATAACTGTTATGTTACCTAGCAATTCAATATCGTAGGATTGTAAGAAAATTTGCTATCTTTTTCCATAGAAAATCAGAGTTATCTGCAGTACACGTTATGCGTCCAATTCATACAGTACACCATGTCGTATGAGCAACACCGAATTTATAAGGCACTTGTATGAAGCTCAGGTCATTTGATGTATACATAGGATGTAAATATATATATATTTGATATATATTTATGTTTTTTTGAAACCTTTTTTGTAGAGTTAAAAATTTTGTATTAGAAAATATTTTTTTGAAATATTGAGGTTTACTCGTTTTATGCAAAATAAAAAATAAGCACATGTTATTTATATGCGAATAGAAACATTACTTAGATACGGTTTAAATTGAGAATAAAAACCTTTTTTTCATTAGATAATAACGGACACCCTAATACGTATATGTTTGATGCTCTTAAAGGAATGTGAAGCATTCAAATAATACACACCGCCAGAAGCTCAGCAAAGCGAATCCTTTATTTGCCACAAGTACAAGGTTAACTGTATAGACGACAATAGCAACATTTATAGTGGTCACAAGTTAATCTTTCATAGCACACACTTACAAGTATATATGTACAATATATGTAATATACATGAGAGGCACATAAAACTAAACGAATGCGTGGCGAATGAGAATTTCTAGGTCAGTGAGTTTCTATGCTTTGCTCCCGACAAAGAGACTGCACCAAACACGCAAATGTATGTAGATAATGATTCGACATATCATATATTATGTTGCACCAATACATACAAATATTAATAGTTATTGTCGACCGCATATTGAGCTATCTGCAAGCATGGCTCACTTTAAATTCTACTGCCACAAGTATATTTTATACGTATGTATGAGTGCGCGTCTGCTCTTTATGACCCAGCATTCTTCTCAAATACTCATCGCACAAGTTTTTCACACATATTTTCTATTGTTTTCGATTTTCTTGTTTGTCTTCTTATCTTTGCTGAATATACTAGCACTTATTTGAATCCTTTCACTTTCATTGCTTTGTGCAACATTTGACACATTCAGAGTACAGCTGCCCCAGTACCGACATTAAAGCGCCCAACTCTTCTAGTGAGTGCCCACACACACACACGAGCGTGGTGGTCCGAGCTGCTATTCTCTTGCTTACAAACACAACACAAGTTCATTGGTGACGAAACAATAGAGTAAAACACAATCGAATTGCAACACTTGAAGCTGTCCTTAGCTGTTATACTTGTATGTGTTTATATTGTATAACTGTATCCTTTTGTTCCTGGTCGATATTTAATTTGCGGTATGTCACAGCTCAAATTACATTCATTGACATTGAAAGCTTCTTCGGGGCATATACCACATG